GGCACTGCGCCGGGCCCACTCGCCGCGGCGGCTCCTCGCGGGGAACAATAGGCTCGGCTCGCCGGGCTTAGGGTTCATCTGCAATGTGCCGCACATTTCGCGCACACACAAAGCGGCGGAGAGGGGGCGGCGCGGGGAAACGGCCACTACCGGTGGTTCCAGGGTTAGGGGTGGAGGCGATGTTCGCGTCCCCGGCGCGGCTGTTGGCGGAGCCGCCGCGAGTCCCCGCCCGCCCGGCAGAGGAGCTCGGAAGGGCGCCGCGCAGCGCCGTCGGGCGGGATGAAGTCCGCCTGTTCCGTCTGCTTCAAGATGAGGCTTCCGGGAGCCAGCGTTCCGGAGCCCCGCGCTGGTGATTCGGGGCCTGGTTAGCACGTTTTGCACGAATGATCATAAACTAACTTTACAAACTGCGGACGACGCAGACAATGCGGGGTGCCCGCCGCCCGCCAGCTCGCCCTGGGCCGGCTTCACGCGGCGGACGGTTGCGCGAACGGAGTAAACCGACGGGGGTCGAGCCGTCCAACTTTTTACCGCAAGGAACGTTTATTACAGGATCCTAAAGATACTTAAAATAAATGGCGACGAAAGCATGCTTCCCTGGCTTCCTCTCCCGTGTCTCAGATGTGATTCTCCTTTAAGATATTTTTGAAGGTTAAAAAAAAAAAAAAACCCTTCGCTTAAATGGGAGACTCGGAAGATCTCAACCAACGCCACCACTTAAGTTTCCATTTTTGGGGGTGTTGGAGCCGGCCCTTCGCGGCAGACGCTAATTAAACTTCCCGGCCCGGCGAGGCTCCGTCCCAGCCGCGGGCCCCGAGCGCCCCGAGGTCGCGGCCGGCGCGGTCCGCAGCGAGGACGCGGGAGTGCCGGGCAAACAAAACGTTACGTAACGCGCTCCGGCGGGCCCGCGGCGCTCACGCTAGGAAAGGCACTCATTGCCCAAGTAAAGTTTGTCGGGAGGAGGCTGTGGCCGGGCAGCTCCCGACACGCGAGGCCAGGCAGGTCTCGGGGCCACGCGGGGCGCGGAGCCCGCGCGAGCAGGAGCGCAGCCGGGCCGGG